CAACCTGACTGGGTCCCTCCTCCTTCCTGTCTCAAACCTGCAGCCCTTTGGAATGTCTTGGGAAGAATATTTGGGTTCTTGCTTGGCTGCCTGACAAGAGGGAAAAGTGAGGGAATAGAGAGCAGTGGCTCTGCCTGCGGCCGTGGTGGGGCTGTGGGGATTGACCCTGTCTGGATTCCAGGTGGCCCCAAAGTTGCTCCATCCCTGCCCTCCTCACCTGCACAGGGCACAGGGAATAGACAGGGCTCTGCCCCGCCCCTGCCCCGCCCCTTCCAGGGTCCCCCTCCACTTCCCGGAGCTGTGGGGGCCTTACCCTGACAACGCTCGGTCCCGACACATCGCGACAGTGGCTTAGGACACACTGCCACAGTCGGTTCGGACACCCCGGGACCGTCCTGGCACTCGCAGCGCGATGGCTGCTGGGCCCCTTCCCGGTGCTCCGGGACCACCATTCTGGTCCCTCCTTTCCGCAGACCTCACCGCAGGGTCTCTGCTCTCCCCTGTCCCGGGGTCTCCCCTCCGCCGTTTCGCTCCCTCCACGCTGGGGGCTCTCCAGGGGGGTCCCGGTCCCTCCATCACGGCCCCTCCGGCCGCGCCCCCCGGCCCCTCCGGCCGCGCCCCCCGACAGCCCCGGGGCCGGCACCGGCAGAGGCTGCCGAGCTCCTGCAGGATGAGACGTTCCTGGGGCAGCGCCGGCTGAGCGGGGCCCGGCTCCCTCACGCCGTCCTTGCCCGCAGCACTCGGGCTCCAGCAGCCCCGGGCTGCTCCTTCGGGATGTGCCGACCGCTCCTGGAGCGCTGCCCTTTGTCGGCAACGAGCCCGAGAGTGCCCAAATCATCCCCAAGGCCTGGGCCAGGACCTCCTGTGAGGCTGTGCCCGAGCCCTGAGGGGTTTGGGAGCCCCATGGGTTTCACTGCTCCCTCCCAAAATCTGGGGGGAGCAGGAATGGCAAGTGGTGCCCTGTGGCCTTCGTCTGAGCACCCTGCAGAATTCCCGGCACTCCTGCTCCTCTCCATGGCCAGGTGCTGTTCCAGTGGCCCACTTGCTCCAGCTGCTGCTGCCTCAGCTGCAGGATCCCAAAATCCCCAGGAGAGGCACCAGAACCCTGTGTTTGTGCACAGGGATGTTTTAGGAGCATGGCTGAACTTTAGGAACTCCAGAACTAATTGCAACACCTCCTAAAGGGTCTGCCGGTCCCTGAGGAGAACAGGGGCATCAACCCAACGAGATCCAATTTCTCCCCATTTTTCCCTCTCAAGGCACTGCTCTTGACCAGGGCTGTCCCTGTGCTCCAGCGGCAGCTGCAGAGCCCTTGGAATTGTGGCTCTGCTTTCCATCTTCTCTTCCTTTCCCTGCAGATGCTGTGTGGGGACCAGCAGTGGCCCAGGAAGAGCAGGAACTCCAAATGTACTCTGGAGCCCCCAGAGGCGCCCAGGCAGAGCCAGGACTGAACATCAGCTTTCCTCAACATTCCAGAGCAATTCAACATTTGCAGATTGGCTGTGACAGGGCTGAAAGAGGAAAAGGGAGAGAAAGGCTGAGGATTTGCAGGAATTGTGGTGTAAAACCACCAGAGGTGCTGCTGTGGACACGACACCTGCCTGGGGTCAGGTGCTGCTTTCCTTCCATTTGAGATCATGGAGAGTGGTAACGGGTGTTGTGCAGGGCGTGTGCCTGGCCCCGGGACACTGCTACGCTGCCAGTGGGCACTGGGATCCAACCTGCTCCCTTGGCGGCTTCTGCCCGCTGCCAGTGGTGGTGCCGGGACCGATTGGTGGCCATGAGTTTGCAAAAGGAGCGATTTGCCCTCCTCCCTCCCGCCTGAGGCCGCCATGGCCCCTAAGGGGATGGAGCTGGAGCGGGGCGCCCCCTGCTGGCCGGGAGTGCTCCCTGCAGGGCCCCCTGCTGGCCGCGGTTATAACTGCCACAAAAACCAACCGCGCTGAGCGGGAGCGAAAGTTCTGGGTTTTTGTTGTTGGTTCTGTTCTGCTTTATAAATTTCTCAGTAAAGAGGTACTATTCCTTTTCCTACACTTTGGTCTGAAAGCCAAATAATTTTTGAAATGAAAAAAGAGTTTTAGATGTGGGTCTTCTTTCCTTTCCAGGAATGTTCCCACTTTCTTTGGCAGACATTAGATATTTCTCATTTAAATGAGTTGCCAGCTGCTGGCTTCCAGCGTGGATGGGACAGACACGGTCAGGGACTTGGCTACCTCATGCTTTGTCCTTTGAGCCAGTTGGGCCAGCAAGGGCCCTCGCCCAAGTTGGCACTCCTGGTCACCCGGCCACTCAGGAGCTGGCTTTGGCAGAGCATCACACTGTCCCCATTGTGCCATGGCTGACAGACTGATGGACAGACGGGAACCTGTCTCACCAAAAGTAAGGCCTGACCCACTCCTGCCACACACAAGTGTTCCAAAATGTCTCCAGACATCAAACTTTTCCTGTCTCTGACACCCGCCCTGTGCCATGGCCTGATCCTGACTGCCCTGGAAAAGGGGGAGGCTCCAGAACCCCCACAGGGCCTTTGTGACATCCTCATGTGGGGAACAGGGCAGAGGAGGTGTTTGGGACAGGGGAGAAGAGAATCCAGAGCCTCCCTGTGGTGGTTTGACAGGAAATGTGTTTTTTGGGATGCTGTGTTTTGGGCCAATGGATATTCAGGATTTAATATTGGCATTTAACCTGGCCATTTAGGACATGGACACGCCTCTGAGAACATGGGGTTAAAAGCAGAGCTCTCCCTTGGGAGGGCCTTTTTGGGTTTCCGGCGGGAAAGAGTTCAGGTCTCTCCCCCAGCCCAGCTGCTGGCTGGGCAGGGGGAGGGGAAAAGCCTTGTGGCCGAGAGAGGTAGGCCTGAGCCCGGGGGTGGAAGGGTGGAAGAGAGAGAGAGAGAGAGAGAGACCGGGAGCCACCGGGCAGCCCCCCCTGAGAGACACAGAGAGAGAGAGAGAGAAAGAGAGCTGCTGCCTGGGACTGTAACCTTGAAACTGGATAAACATGGGCCTGTGCCGGCAGCACGGCTGGGACGGAGAAGAAGGGGGGGTTCAGCCGGCCGCTTGTAGGAGCTTTTAACCCCTTTTTGGAGAATGAGAACTTTGCAGATCATTGACCTCTCCTGGAAGATAGAGTGGAAGATGAGGAAGGAAATGTGCAAGTGTGAGAGAGGTCTGGACGAGCGAGAGATAGTAGAAGAGTAGAGAAGAATCCTAGTGGGAAGAGATGATGGAGTGGCTTTTGCTGGACTCTTTTTGTATAGCCATGGACAGAACCATGTTCCTTGTGACACAGAGACTGCATTCTAGGGGGAGGCAATGGCCACAGAACCAAGAGGGTTCAGTGTTGGTGCCCCTCGGCCCCAGGGGGTGAAAAAATATGGGGGGGACAGGTGTCCCAAAGGAGAGACTGTGCCTTTTTTGGATTGGGACAGAGCATCCTTAAAAAAGACAACCCTAGAAGCAGCTCTGGTCCGTGTTCAGTGGTGAGAGCACTGGACATGAAAGGAAGAGGTCACGATAGCAGATGTACTCCGGGCGGTGCCACGAGTGACGCGGAAACACACGAGGCTTCGACTGTGTTTCCAGGGAAAGCCCATGGTACAAGAAGGACTCCTCTCCTCTTGATGAACTGAGGATTGATTGTCTAAAAGGTGGTGCTGGACCGAGAGTCGGTGATTTGAGGAATAAATGTATTGTGTTGGAAATTTGGTGGGGGGAGGAGGAAATGCATTTGTGAGGTTTTCATTTTCCCTGTGTGTGTGTTCCTTTTTATTTGTAGTTGTAGAGTAGTTAATAAAGTTCTGTTTTCTTTTCTTTCCTAAGTAAGAGCCCGCTTTGCTTATTCCTGGTCACATCTCACAGCAGCTACCAGGGAGAGGGTATCTTCATGGGGGCACTGGCATTGTGCCAGTATCAAACCATGACACTCCTGAAAGCCGCTTTGGCCACCAGAGCAAGGAAGGTCCAGGGCCCTGCCAGTTCCTCTGGTGGAGAAACGTGCTGAGGGATACATCTGGGGTTTATTCCTCGTTGTGGCTTTCCCTGGAAATCATTCCTTGTGTGACCATTTGGAATCTGAACCTTGTTGCTGTTGGTTTCATTCTCTCTGGTTGCTGTTTCAGGAAATTGTTCTTCTCTCAGCTCTTTGGCATCTTTGTGCCCCCATGGGGAGTAAGAGGGGCAGTTTTTAGTGGCAGCACACACACAGGAGTTGGTGCCCATGGGTGGGGACCCCCAGTGCCCCCAGTTCCCCCCAGTGTCACAGCACATTCCCGTAGATGTCACCGGGTTCCCGCAGTCGCCCCTGGGGTCCCCGCAGCTCCGCGTTGGTCACCTGGGGATCCTGGAGGGTGGTGGCACGGGGGGACGCTGCGAGAGACACGGGCTGTGGGATCTGGGTGGGGTGACACTGGTGGGTGACGTGTCCCTCTGCGTGTGTCCCCCCCGTACTCACCCCCTGCCCTCTTGGTGACCACGACGTGGGTGTACAGCACCTCCCCCTGCTCTGGGGGGGCCGGGGCATCCGGGGGGGCCCTGAGGGAATAAAGGAGATGTGGGAGAGGGAATGGGAGGTCTTGGGGGTTGGGGGAAAAGGAGAGCAGTTGGTTTGAGCCCCCCACTCACCTTTCCTGCTGCTTCCTGGCAGCTTCAAAGGAAGGAGGGGACGGGTGACTGTGAGGTCCCAGGGCCCTGAACCTTATCAGGATTCCTGAACTCCCATGGTACCCCCAAGCATCCCTGAAGCCCCCCAGAATTCATGAACCTCTCTAAACCCCCTGACCAAGTAAGCCTCAAGGACCTAAAGCCTGCCAGGGACAGAAAAACCCATCACCCCCAGGGCCCCTGAAAGAATCCCCAACATCCCTGCAGGACCTTCCAGCACCTCAGCATACTCTCCAAGACCCCCAGGCAAGGTCACAATTTTGGGGCTGTGGGATCTTCCCTATTGCTCCCCAACTCTGGGGGCCTCTGCAGCTCCCTGGGACCCCCATCCACCCACTGTCACCCACCCACACGGTTCCACCGGTGCCAGGCCACAATGACACCCACGAGCAGAGCAGGAAGAAAAGGGCCCCACCAACCCCTGCGGCCACTGCAAGAAACAGAGGGGGACACATCAGGGTCACCCATCACCCCAGGGGTCCTGCACCCTACAGTGACCCCGTGTAAACCCACCTATGTCCCTGTGTGTCCCTTTGTCCCACAGTGTATCCTCCAGGGCCAGCTCTGGGCTAAGAACCCGGAACACGCAGGGCCCATCCTGTCCCAGCTGGTTGGTGGCCATGCACTGGTAGGTGCCCAAATGTCCCACATTGATGTCCCTGAGCTCCAGGAGGGGACCCTGGGCCACCTCCTGCCCGTTGTGCAGCCAGGTGAAGGTGACAGGGGCTGAGCTCACCTGCACTGAGCAGTGCAGAGTCTCATTGTCACCTGCACACACCTGGCGTGACAGGGGACTGGGAGTGATGGTGGCATTGGCCACAGGCACTGTGGGGACAGAGACGGGGCTGAGGCCACAGGGAGGGGCTGGCAGCCGGTGTGGGGGGATAGGGACAGGGGGGATGGGTGTGGTGGGGGATTTTGGTATGGGGTCACACCAGAGAGGGGCGAGGGGACAAGGGGAGTGATGGAAGGACCCAAGAAAGGTGTCAGGGGGACATGGAGGTACCCAACCAGAAGATACAAGCAGGCTGTGGGGGCTCGCCATGCCCATCCCCACACTCACTGCGCACCGTGACACAGAGCCAGGTGCTGCTATTCCACACGGCCCCTCCTCAGAGTGCAGCTGGCAGCTGTAATTCCCCGAGTGGGAGACCCCCAGGGCGACCACCAGCAGCTGCGGGGACCCCTGTGTGCCCCCCACCACCTGCCTGTCCCGGTAGAACACGTGCAGGAGGGGGGCTCGGGGCAACAGGGGGCTGGGGGTGCTGAGGCAGCTGAGAGTCAGAGGGGACCCCTCGGTGGGTGTGGGGGGACCCTCCAGCACCGGCACCGAGAAGAGCTCTGGGAAGGAGAGGGGAGGTGAGGACTGTGGCTCTGAATCCAATGGGAAGTGGCTTTGGGGTTGTCAGGAGATTGGAGTTCCAGCCCTGGGGGTGCTCACCGTGCACTGTCACTGTCACTGCTGCTGACCGTGACATAAAGGACCTCACCAAGCCCCCGCAGCTGTAGCTGCTGCTGCTGTGGTTCAGCTGCAGATGGGACAGGGACAGCTCAGTCCCATTGATGGGCCCCCACAGATCCTTCTTGTCCCGGTAAATTCGCACCTTGGTGTCCGTGTGGTTCCACCAGTCCTGGCAGCGCAGGGTCACTGTGTCCCCCTCCAGCAGTGCCCGCGCTGGCACCTGCAGCACCAGATCATCTGTGGGACAGGAGGGTTGCATTCCACTGAGGGGTTGAGACAGGTCCAAGGTGGGTGTCCAAGGCACCAGGGACATCTGGGTGCACTGGGGTGCCCTGGGGTGCACTGGGATGTCCAGGTGTCCTGTGGACAGGCTCTCGTGCTGAGAGCCAGGGGGTGTGAGGCCACCCACAGAGTGGAGCCCACGCAAACCTCTCAGGGGTAACCCTGATCATTAAAGATCCCCCCTCACCATTTGAGATTGTCAAGGGGGGGCTGCGCCCAGTGCTGGGTCTGTCACACGTGTAGGTGCCTCTCTCAGTGACAATGAGGCGGTCATGTCCCTGCTGCCCCCAGCGCTGCCCGTCCTTGTACCAGGTGCTGACACCGGGGGTCCCCGAGCCCTGGCAGGTCAGGGTCACCCGGTCCCACAGCACCGCCGCCTCCAGGGGGGCTCCACCAGGAGCTGGGTGGTCTGGGCACCTGTGGGTGACAGGGGACACCAGCCTGCCAGGGCCAGGGTGGGGCTGGGGACAGCGGGGTGGGGCCATGGCATCCCCTGAGGACTCACCAGCGAGGCTGAGGGTCTGGGCTGGAAGGGAGAAGGGACAGAAGGGACAGGGCTGGGTGGGGGTGGCATCGTGGGGACAGCAGCACGGGAGCATGGGGTGTGGTGGCTGTCCCCAAACTGTCTCGGTAGGGACAGCAATTCTTGTGGGGAAGTGTGTCTGGATGGTCCCCAAAAGTTTTGGCAAGGCAGGGGGACATGTCTGTGTCACAGCCACCCATGCACCACATCTCTGTGGCACAGATGCCTTGGGAACAGGGACACTGAGACCACCCTGGGCTAAGGAAGAACATGGGGACACTGTGGACACCCTGGGCACAAGGAAACCACGGACACAGCCCATGCTGGCCCAGGTCACCCCCACCAGCTCATGATCCCATCCCCATGATCCCATCCCCATGGCCACATCCTCACATTTCTTCTCCCTGCATCCCAGTTCCCTTGTCCCTATCCCCAGAGCTGCCTAAGCCCAAAGGTGCCAGTCCCCACATTCCTGTGCCCACATCCCCATCCCCAAATTCCTCCCCCCAAAGCCACCCTACATCCCCAGGCCCACCAAGGTCCACTGTGAGTAACATGGACTGGCTCTGCTGGCATTGGGGACCCCAGGGTACCCTGCAACTCCCCTGTGCCCCCTCCCCTCCCTATCCCCAGGGTGTCAGGCCTGTGCCCGGGGCACTCACCCCACAGGAGCAGCGCCCCCTTCCCAGCCATCCCGGTGTCCGCAGCCATGTGCACTGGCTGTCACTCGCTGCTGTGGCCACCGCTCCCCTGGCTGGCGGCTCTTGGGATGAAGGGGAAGGAAGCGAGGTCACGTCTGTCCCCATGTGTTGGTGGCCCTTGGTGGGGGCAGGGTGGGGACAGGCTGGGGACATGGGGTTCCCCGGATTGGGGGGCTCGGTGGGTTTGGGGAGGCAGGAATGGGGTCACTGGGAAATGAGGGTGGTGAGGTGGGGGAATGTCTGGCAATGGGTCTGTGGAGCAGTGGCCGGTGAAAAGTGAAACGCCCAGGCTAGATAAATGTCCAGCCAACCTCCAGCCAGTCAGGCACTTCCCCAACCCGGAGTCAGGGGCTTGTGCCTAAGGCGATGTCAAGCCTTGCGGACGTGTGGCCGCAGTAAAGAGCTCCGAAGTCGCAGGATGAAATGAAGAGGCGACCCTCAGTTTCTTCGGGGGGGTGGTTTTATTGGTAGGGAAACGTGGAGTTCTTCGGTGGAAGAAGCTGAGAGCCCCGCGGCAGGGAAAAGCCTCGGTTTTACAGAGGGTGGGAGGGGTGAAAGATAGCAAATCAGAGAGGGATACATTAAGGATTGGCGTGATCGGAGAACCCATCAAACACAGTTGCGGGAGGGACCCTGGCCCCTAACCCAATCACTCGACACCCTGGCCCGAACTCTCTAGAAAAAGAGGCAGGGGTGTCGAGTGACAGGCAGGCTGCCAGGGGTGGGGAACAAGAAAGATACATTTGGTAACCAAGACAACTGGGGAGGGGTTTGGGGATTGACACAAACTGGTAACAGGGCAGGACTTTCTGAGAGAACAATGGAGGGAAAACTGAACAAGCATAAAACACACCACAACAGGTCTGCCATGGGAATGAGCGTCCCCATAGCTGGGGGGACTCAGGGATGGGAGTCCCAAGGGAATATGGGCTCCAGGGATTTGAGTTCATGGGATGGGGGAATGGTGGGTCCTAGGAGGATTTCAGGGGATGGAATGAACGGGAGGGGTTTCCTTGGAAATGGGGTCCTGGGCCATGGAGATCCTGGGGAATGTCAGTATTGGGATGGGGGTTGCAGAGAGGGTGGAACATAAGGAATGGGGGTCCCATGTTTCGGTTCCCAGAGAATGGGGGTGCCAGGGATGGGCAGCGGCTGGGTGAGCCCATGGGTTGCAGCTCCTTCCCTGGGTGCTTCAGATTTTGGGGTGGTCCAGAGCTTAACATAGCCCCCACAAGGTGCCGGCGGCGTGGGGATTACCACAGACAGATCCCGAGGGGCTCTGGGTCTGTGCCCCTCCAGACCCCAGTGACTTTTCCCTCTCTTTATTCCATTTTCACCATTTTACCCCTCAATTTCAGAAACCCCCAGTTTGTGCCTTGATGATCCTGGTGGGCACCCGAGCAGGGAATGGGCTGGGGAGGCTGTGGGGGATGGGGGAGTGCAGCTTTTACCGCCCCAACGCTTTCACTTTCTCTGTACTGCAGCAGAAGGAAGAGGCTGTTTGACACGTTTGTCACATGGAGGGGGGGTTCTGTCCTGGGGGGGGGGCACATCCAGGGGTCTCCTGTCCTGGGGGGATCCTGTCCCAGGGGGGCACATGCTGGACAAGGGGCTCCTGTCCTGGAGCATGGCAGATTCGGAGGGGTCCAGACTTCTCCATTCTTGCTCGTCCCCTGCAGGATCTGAGCCAGCAAAAGCAGCTGGGGAATGGAGCCCCTGGGCAGGAAGGAACTCCCAGACTCCTGCTCCTTGAAGCCAGAGGCCACCAAAGGCTGGGCCCAGCCATGGCCCAGCCCCACTGCACAGGGATGGCCATTGCCCAGCCCTGCTCTGCCCAGCCCCAGGTGGCAGCCAGCACCTGAGGGTCCCCCCTGCCCCCTTGGCTTTGATTCTGGCAGCTTTAGAGCTGCTGCAGAGGTGAGAATTCTGTGGGGGGAAAAAGTCCCTGCCTGGGGTTTGTTCAGCCCTGCAAGAAGCACAAAGCCCAAAGAGAGTACAAGCAGTGGCTCTGCTAGGGCCTTTGATATTTTTCATAGAAGGGCTGGCTAGAAACCGCCCCTGCAGGGGCAGCTGAGAGGGAACCAGTCCAGCAATTGATCATTTCTTCCTCTTGGGAAGGGACTGACAGAGGCCCAAAACAACTGCAAATCCTACAACAATCTGCTAAAGAACTGGAGCTTGACCATTGTCCTTGAACCAAACCTGCAGCCCTCAGGATCCGCATGGAAAGAATGCTTGGATTTGGATTGTAGTGGGCAGCTAAGAGAGAAATGTATGGAAATATCAGTCAGTGGATCTGCCTGTGGTCATGGAAAGGCTGTGGGGAGTGTCCCTTGCCTGGATTCCAGGTGTCCCCAAAGCTGCTCCATCCCTGCCCTCCTCACCTGAGTGAAAGGCTGAGGGTTTGCAGGAATTGTGGTGCAAAGCCACCAGAGGTGCTGCTGTAGGCCTGAGACCTGCCTGGGGTCAGGCGCTGCCTTCCTTCCATTCGGGACCATGGAGAGCGGTCGCGGGTGTTGTGCAGGGCGTGTGCCCGGCCCCGGGACACTGCTACGCTGCCAGTGGGCACTGGGATCCAACCTGCTGCCTTGGCGGCTTCTGCCCGCTGCCGGTGGTGGTGCCGGGACCGATCGGTGGCCGTGAGTTTGCAAAAGGAGCGATTTGCCCTCCTCCCTCCTGCCTGAGGCCGCCATGGCCCCTGAGGGAATGGAGCTGGAGCGGGGCGCCCCCTGCTGGCCGGGAGTGCTCCCTGCAGCGCCCCCTGCTGGTCGCGGTTATAACTGCCACAAAAACCAACAGCGCTGAGCGGGAGGGAAAGTTCTGGGTTTGTGTTGTTGGTTCTGTTCTGCTTTATAAATTTCCCAGTAAAGAGCTGCTATTCCTTTTCCTACACTTTTACCTGGAAGCCCCATCATTTTTGAAATTAAAAAGATTTTTAGACATGTGTCTTCCTACCATTCCAGGAACATCCTCACTTTCCTTGGTAGATATTTCTCATTTAAATGAGTTGCCAGCTGCTGGGTTCCAGTGTGGTTGGGACAGACACCCCAAGAGAAGACACGGTCAGGGACTTGGCCACCTCATGCTTTGTCCTTTAAGGGAGCTGGGCCACCAAGGGCCCTCTCCATAGCTGGCACTCCTGGTCACACGGCCACTCAGGAGCTGGCTTTGGCAGAGCATCACACTGTCCCCAGTGTGCCAAGGCTGACAGACTGAGGGACAGACGGGAACCTGTCTCACCAAAAGCAAGGCCTGACCCACCCCTGCTACACACAGGTGTTCCAAAATGTCTCCAGACATCAAACTTTTCCTGTCTCTGACACCCTGCCCTGTGCCATGGCCTGATCCCGACTGCCCTGGGAAAGGAGGTGGTTCTGGAATCCCCACAGGGCCTTGGTGACATCCTCGTGTGGGGAACAGGGCAGAGGAGGTGTTTTGGACAGGGAACAAGAGAATCCAGAGCCTCCTGAATGCCACTTTGGCCATCAGAGCAAGGAAGGTCCAGAGCCCTGCCAGGTTCCTCTGGTGGAGGAAACGTGCTGGAGGGAACTGTCTGGCGTTTGTTCCTTTTTGGGGGCTTTCCCTGGAAATTGTTCCTTGTGCGACAATTTGGACACTGAACCTTATTGCTGTTGCTGTTGGTTTTATTCTCTCTGGTTGTTGTTTCAGGAAATTGTTCTTCTCTCAGCCCTTTGGCATCTTTGTGCCCCCACGGGGAGGGATTGGGGCAGTTTTTAGTGGCAGCACAGACACGAGTGGGTGCCCATGGGTGGGGACCCCCAGTGCCCCCAGTTCCCCCCAGTGTCACAGCACATTCCCGTAGATGTCACTGTGTTCCCGCGGTCGCCCCTGGAGTCCCTGCAGCTCTGCGTAGGTCACCTGGGGATGCTGGAGGGTGGTGGCACGGGGGGACACTGCGAGAGACACGGGCTGTGGGATCTGGGTGGGGTGACACTGGTGGGTGACGTGTCCCTCTGCGTGTGTCCCCCCCGTACTCACCCTCTGCCCTCTTGGTGACCACGACGTGGGTGTACAGCACCTCCCCCTGCTCTGGGGCGGCTGGGGCATCCGGGGGGGCCCTGAGGGAACAAAGGGGTTTTGAGGGAGGGAATGGGAGGTCTTGGGGGTTGGGGAAAATAGGGAGCGTGTGGTTTGAGCTCCCCACTCACCTTTCCTGGTTCTTCCTGGCAGCTGCAGAGGAAAGAGGGGAGGGGTGACTGTGGGGTCCCCAGGGCCCTGACTGCTCTCAGGATTCCTGAACTCCCATGGGACCCTCAATCTTCAACAGGACCCCCATGCATTCCTGGAGCCCCCCAGAATTCATGAACATCCTCCGTACCCCAAATCAACTCAGGCTTAAGTACCCAAAGCCCAGGAGGGACAGAGACCCCCCAAACACACCCAAGGCCCCTGAAAGAACCCTCAACATCCCTGAATAACCCTCCAGCACCTCCCCAAGCTCTACAGCACCCCCAGCCAATGTCACAACACTGGGATTGTGAATGCCACACTCTCGTTCCCCAATTATAGGGGCCCCTACAGTCGCCTGGGACCCCCGTCCCCCCATTGTCACCCACCCACACGGTGCCACCAGTTCCAGGCCACAATGACACCCACGAGCAGGAGCAGGAACAAAAGGGCCCCACTGACCCCTGCGGCCACTGCAAGAAAAAGAGGGGGACACATCAGGGTCACCCATCACCCCAGGGGTCCTGCACTCCCTGGTTACCCTCTGGGACCCCACCTGTGTCCCTGTGTGTCCCTGTGTCCTGCGGTGTCACGTCCAGGGCACAGGGGGTGATGGTGGCATTGGCCACGGGCACTGCGGGGACAGAGACAGGACTGAGGGCACAGGGAGGGGCTGGCAGCCGGTGTGGGGGGACAGGGATGGGGGACTGGTGTGATGGGGGATGTCAGGGGTGGGGTCATAACACAGAAGGGTGTGGGCACAAGGGGAGTAATAGAAGGAGCAAGGAAATTTTTGTTGGGGACTTGGAGATGCCCAAACAGGGGACCCGAAGTGTCTGTGGGGGCTCCCTGTGCCCATCCCGCACCCCCTGTGCACCATGACATGGAGCCTGGTGCTGCTTTTCCCCACACCCCCCCTGCTCAGGGTGCAGCTGGCAGCTGTAATTCCCCGAGTGGGAGGCCCCCACGGCAGGCACCAGCAGCTGTGGGGACCCCTGCGGGTCTCCCACCATCTCCCCATCCCGGTAGAACACGTGCAGGAGGGGGGCTCGGGGCCGCAGGGGGCTGGGGGTGCTGAGGCAGCTGAGAGTCAGGGGGGCCCCCAGGATGGCCTCGGGGGGACCCTGCAGCACCGGCACTGAGAAGAGCTCAGGGAAGGAGAGGGGAGAGGGAATTTTGGCCCCGAGTCCCTGGGGAGGGGCTGTGGGGGTGTCGGGGTGGGGACTTTGTGGTGCTCACCGTGCACTGTCACTGTCACTGGTGGTGACTCCCTCAACCCCCAGGATCCCACCTTGCCCCTGCAGCTGTAGTGGCCACTGTGACTCAGCTGCAGAGGGGACAGGGACAGCTCAGTGACATTGGGGAACACCCCCAGTTCCTTCCCCTCCTGGTAGAAGGACACCGAGGTGACCGTGCTGTTCCGCCAGCCCCGGCAGCGCAGTGTCACCGTGTCCCCCTCCAGCAGCGCCCGCGCCGGCACCTGCAGCACCAGATCATCTGGGGGACAGAGGGGATTCATCACATCACAGGGATGTCAAGGGTCCCGCTGACATCGGGACCCTCACTGAGTCACACCCAGTGCACCAGAGGTCATCAATTCCACAAACAGGGTCCTCTCGCTCTGGGGTGCTCTGGATGTCCCCAGGGCAGGGGATGGGCTCTGGTCACACAGGAGGTGACCCATGGAGCAGAGCCCACCCAGAGTCCTTGGGGTGCCTGTGGGTGCAAGGCTGGGGACACCCAAACCCCCCTCACCTTCTGAGACAATCACAGGGGGGCTGAGCCCAGTTCCAGGTCTGTCACAGCGGTAAATGCCTTTCATAGTGACAGTGACATTAGTGCGTCCCTGCTGCCCCCAGCGCTGCCCGTTTCTGTACCAGGTGGTGGCACTGGCAGTCCCCGAGCCCTGGCAGGTCAGGGTCACCCGGTCCCACAGCACCGCCGGCCTCCAGGGGGGCTCCACCAGGAGCTGGGTGGTCTGGGCACCTGTGGGTGACAGGGGACACCAGCCTGCCAGGGCCAGCGTGGGGCTGGGGACAGTGGGGTGGGGCCATGGCATCCCCCGAGGACTCACCAGCGAGGCCGAGGGTCTGGGCTGGAAGGGAGAAGGGACAGGGCTGGGTGGGGGTGGCACCATGGAGACAGAGGCACGGGGGCAGGGGGAGTGGGGGCTTTCCCTGAAAAAGATCTCAGTGGGGGGATTGGTGTGGAACAGATGTCTCGAGGACAGGGACACAGCAGCCAACTCATGGTCAGGCATGGGGACCCCTGTGCTGGCACAGGTCATCCCTGCCAGACCCATAGCCACATTCCCATGACCCTGTGCCCATGGTCCCATTTTGGTGGCACCTGTCCCCATGGCTCAAGCACATGGTGCTTGTCCCCTTGTTCCTGTCCCTGCATCCCTGTGTCCCTCTTCCCCTGTCTCTGTACCCACAGCTGCCCCAGCCCCAAGTTTCCTTCTGTAGCATCCTTGTCCCCACAACTCCATCCTCCTGTCCCTGTCCCCACATCCCAGTTCCGCTGTGTGTGTCCCGTGTTCCTGTCCCCATGGCCACCCCACAACTCTGGTCACACTGGGCTCCATGTCCTGCTGGCCTTGAGGACCCCAGGAGACCTCGCAGCCCCCCTGTGCCCCCTCCCCTCCCCATCCCCAGGGTGTCAGGCCCGTGCCCGGGGCACTCACCCCACAGGAGCAGCGCCACCTTCCCGGCCATCCCGGTGTCCCCAGCCATGTGCACTGGCTGTCACTCGCTGCTGTGGCCACCGCTCCCCTGGCTGGGGGCTCCTCGGATGAAGGGGAAGGAAGCGAGGTCACGTCCGTCCCCATGTGTAGGTGGCCCTTGGTGGGGGCAGGGTGGCCACAAGCAGGGCACAGGCTGTGGGCAAGGTGGGGACAGGATGGGGACATGGTGGGGGATGCTGTTGCCAGGAGTGGGGGGCTCAGGGGATGTGGGGAACCAAGGATGGGTGTCCAGGAGAATGAGGGTCCACTGGAATTGGGGTTTCCATGCCTGGGGGCATTCAGGGATGGGGGTGCTGTGGGAACATGGTCCCCAGGGATTTGGGGTCATGGTGTGTGGGTGCCAGGGCTGGGGGTGCAGGGGGAAAAAGGGGACGCTCAGGAATAGGGGTTCTGGGGGAAGAAGCAGCCCATTGTATGGGATCAAGTCAATGGTGGGGCTGGGCAATGTCAGTCCTGGGATGGGGGTCCCCAGGGAGGAGAGACCAAGGCAATGGGGGTCCCATGGTTGGGTTCCCAGGGGAATGGGGGGTGCCAGGGATGGGCAGTGGCTGGGTGGGCACGGGGGTCACAGCTCCTTTCCAGGGTGCCTCAGATTTTGGGGTGACTCAGAGCCCAGCACAGTCCCCACCCTTGGGCACCCCATGGCTCTCCTAGGAGGTTCTGTGTCTCTGCCCCACTCACCCCTGGGCTTTTTCTTGTCTCCCCGCATTTCCTGGCTGAACCATCCCAGGGAACAGCTGGGAGAATCCCAGGAAGGGAAAAAAGGGGTTGGGGGGTGCAGGCAGCGGTTTCGGGGCTGTGGGGGATGGGGCTCCCTGTCTGTGACCCCCCAACTCTTTCTCTTTCCTGCAGCGGTTTGTGCTGAGGCAAGGACATGAATTCTGTCCAGGGGCCACATCCAGAGGGGTCCAGCCTTTAGGGAAAAGGGCAGCTCTGCTGTGCTGACACCCAGGTCTTGTCCCAGGCTCTTGTCCCTGGGAGCTCCTCCTCGTTCTGGGGGTGCCACATCCTTGGGGATTCCTTTCCCAGAGGTGGCACATCCTGGGGTCCTCTGTCCTGGCTGGGCCTTGAGCATTCCCGCTGTCCCCAGTGGGTCCCTGTGACCTCTGGGGTGCCCAAACTTAAGGAGGCATCTTTTATGACCTTGCCCTGATGATGGTAAATCCCAGGATCAAGCTGGTTGAATTCCCTGATGCCCAATTGCTATGGACAGTTTTGGGGTCATATTTTGGTCTCAGATTTTGAGATGACTCAGAGCCCAGCACAGACCCCACCCTGGGGCACCCCAGGCTTGTCCTGGGAGGCTCTGGGTCTCTGCCCCACAAATCCCTGGGCTTTTTCCTGTCATTCAAATTTCCTGTCTTAGCAATCTCAGGAAACACTTGATGCCCAATTGACTGTGACAAAATTATACAGCCATAGAAAAAAGGCAAAAATCTTTTCCTATACCATTATTTTCCCAACAAAAAACAAACTCCTGAAAAATCAAACTGACAAGGAATAAAATGCTCTGGTTTATAGAATCCTTTTAATCATTGCTTTCCCAACAAGAGGAAATCAAAACACAATAAAAACAGAAATAAGTGGATATAAAAACCACAAGAAAACCACAAACAAATCACAGTGAAATGAGACATTTTGGTTCCTTTTAGAAGACCCCTGCTCCATCCCACAGCAGCGTTTGCTTGTGGATAACACAGAGGGTGGAATCTCCCTGAGTGTCCAACAGCTCCATGGGATTGTTCCCTGCCTGCTGGGCAGCAACCCAGCCCCTAAGGAAGCCTTTTCTTGGGCCATATTAAGGAACTCTTCCCATTTTGCTCGTTCCCACCCTGAAACTTGTTTGACTTCCCATGGAGGAAGGGGAGAAGCTCTGTCCATGCTTGGGACAGTGCACAGGAATCTGTGGAAATGCCCCTGTGTGCCTCAGGGTCTGATTCCCTGGTAAATCCACTCCAGCCTGCCCTGAATTCCCCTGCCTGGGCACTCCCTGCTCCTGCTGTGACACCCCTGTTCCCCAGCCCCTTGTGTGCAGCCCCTGCTCAATATTTCCACACTTTTCCCTCTTATTTGGCAGCAAGAGCCCAACCCAAATATTAATTCCATGATGTTCCAGAAGTCTGCAGGTTTTCTTCAAGAACGAGTGTTCCAGTCAGTTTGTTGAGCAGATTGTTTTTGTCTTTACAGTAGTTTTGTGGTTTTCGCAGTCCCTTGGGCAAGGGACAAAATGATCAATTGCTGCATTTCCGGACTGGTTCCCTCACAGCTGCCCCTGCAGGGGGGGTTTCCAGCCAGCCCTGCTCTGAAAACCATCAAAGGCCCTCACAGAGGCACTGCCTGGGCTCCCTTTGGGCTTTGTGCTTCTTGCAGAGCTGAGCAAACCACAGCCAGGTCTTCTCCCTCATAGAATTCTCACCTCTGCAGCAGCTCTAAAGCTGCCAGAATCAAAGCCAAGGGGGCAGGGGGGACCCTCAGGTGCTGGCTGTCACCTGGGGCTGGGCAGAGCAGGGCTGGGCAATGGCCATCCCTGTGCAGTGGGGCTGGGCCATGGCTGGGCCCCAGCCTTGCATTGACAGGGGTCCCCAGGATGTGCCACCCCTGGGACAGGCACCTGGCCAGGAATGTGCAGGGACATTTCCGGAACTGCCACACCTGGGACAGGACCCCCCATGCCAGGATGTGTCACCCCCGGGACAGGATCCCCCCAGGACAGGAGCCTCTGGATGTGCCCCCCCAGGACAGAACCCCCCCTTTCCCATCTGACTCTCAGCACAAACGGCTTCTTCCTTCTTGTCCAGGAAAAGGAAAGTGAAAGTGTTGAGGAGGCACAGCCCAACACCTCCATCCCCCCCAGCCTGCCTACCCTTCCCTGCATCCCCTGCTCCCCATTTTCCCCTCCCCTGGGTCCCCCCAACCCATTCCCTGCTCAGGTGCTCCCCGGGATTGTTGAGGTAGGAACAGGTGCAGAGGGCACGTGGCACAAAAGTGAGGAAAATAAGGAAAGAAAAGCAATGAAAACACAAAAAAATCAAGGACAGTGGAGGGCACAGAGGCCGAGCTACCCAGGACCCCCATGTGATGCCTGCACAGGAAACAAGCATCCCAGGGGGGCATTGCTTGCTCTGGGTCACACCAAAATCTGAGGCACCCAGGGAAGGAGCTGAGACTCCTGTGCCCATCCAGCAGCTGCTCATCCCTGGCACCCCCATTCCCCTGGGAATCTAAACATGGGATCCCCATTCCTTATGTCCCCTCATCTCTGGGACCCTCATCCCAGTACTGACATTACCCACGATGTCCATGGCCGAGAACCCCATTCCCAAGGAACCCTCTCCTGTTCATTCAATGCCCTGAAATCCCCCTTCCCCCATTACCTTGGTTCTCTCAGGAACGCCATTCCAATGGGACCCCCATTCCCCCAGCATCCCCATCTCATGACCCCAAATCCTGGAGCCCACGCTCACCTGGGACTCCCATCCCTGAGTCCCCCCCAGCCCTGGACACCCCCAGACCCATGACTCCCCCTCCTCAGGAACCACATTCCCCTGGACATCCATCCCTGGCTCCCCAAACCCACCGAGCCCCTACTCCTGCAAACCACATCTCCCACCATGTCCCACCCACCCTCATCCCCATCCTGTGCCCAGCTTGTGGCCACCCTGCCCCCACCAAGGGCCACCTACGCATGGGGACGGACGTGACCTCGCTTCCTTCCCCTTCATCCCAAGAGCCACCAGCCAGGGGAGCGGTGGCCACAGCAGCGAGTGACAGCCAGTGCACATAGCTGGGGACACCGGGATGGCTGGGAAGGTGGCGCTGCTCCTGTGGGGTGAGTGCCCTGGGCACGGGCCTGACACCCCAGGGATGGGGAGGGGGCACAGGGGGGCTGTGGGGTCCCCTGGGGTCCCCAATGCCAGCAGTGCCAGTCCATGGTACCCACAGTAGACCTTGTTGGGACTGCGACTGATGTAGGGTGGCTTTGGGGACAAGAACAGGTGGCAGAGATTTGGGGATGGGGATGTGGCGCAGGAATGTGGGGACTGGCACCTTTGGGCTCAGGTAGCTCTGGGGATGGGGACAAGGGAACTGGGATGCAGGGACAGAAGGGAACAAGAACGGTGAGGATGTGGCCATGGGGATGGGATCATGGGGATGGGATCATTAGCTGTGTCCGTGGTGTCCTCGATCCCAGTGCCCAGGGTGTCCACAGT